TTGCTTCAATCCGAGGAAAAAGGCGAACAAGAGGACGCCCGATCCTCCCGTCTTGACGAGAGCGGAGCAAACGGAGCCCACCGTGGGGCCAGCTGAACCGTCTGCCCTCCCGCTCACGATGGCTTCCAGCGCCCTGACAGCGGAAAGCACATTCAGAGTGACGTTAGGATGGGGAGCATGCATTGATTGGTGCTCCCCCTCTAGGCATATTCAGCACCACAAGCCCAAGACGGGGAACGACATCGACGTACGTGGCCTATGTTTATTCGATTTAGCGTTTTTTGCGCGTGTTGACAGCAAACGTGCATGTGAGGGGGCTACAAGTGTTATGATGGTGTCCATTATCCTATTCGGAACGTTACACGCCTGCAGCAAGAAGAGGCAAGCACAGCGGAGGCAAGGTGGGATAATATGCATACAAAAATAGTCTCGGTGATACCTTCCACTGGGTGACTTGTATGTAGTAAGGGAGAACGGAAATCTTGTCAAACACCTCGTCGCTGCGCTCGTTCTCTCTCTCTCTCTCCCTCTCTCTCTCTCACCCAATACAGAAAGAGGAAGAGCAGAGCTTCCGGAACGTCGGCAGGAATGCCCGGACCGGTCCCCGCTTGTCCTTGGGAACGTTCTCCGCCGCCGCCGCCGCCGCCGCTCCTATCGCCGCCTTAGCGAGAGCGTCTCGCACCGCCGCGAACGCTTTCGACCGGGGTTCCGACAACTTTCCGTCCAAACAACCACGAACGAGACGGGACAACCCGGAAATTCCGCGGTGCTCCTCCTCCAGAGCACTCACGCTGAGGTGTGGGCTGTGCGAGGGGGGGAGGGAGTAGTTGCGGACGCCAAATGTGGATGCCGTCAGCTATGGTCCCTATCTCACAGGATAGTGGTGTGTTTGTTGTCGGGGGGTGGGTGGGAGTGTTCATCAGGTTTTTCTGGACTTTCAGGTTTGGGAAGATATGAAGTGTGAATAGACTGATTATAAAAGTGCCAATTCGCGATACAGAAAGGATGTCTTCTTGAGTGCTGCTCTGTGGGCTGTGTGGACAGCCTTTGGCCATGACTCTCAGTCGTGCTCTCTCTAGATAGAGACCCGCCACTACGCTTTCCCCCGCTCTCTCTCTACCCCCTTGTCCTCCTACAATAGGAGACTTCAGTGTCTTGTGATGTCTCCCCCAGTCCCACCGTGTTTCTCTCTCTCCATCTCGCTCGCTCACCAGATAGCGTCGAACAACGCATCATCGCGTCCTATGTACGAGGACACCGCGTGCACCAGCTCCTCCTTCACCGCCTCCAGCAGCTTGCGCTTTCTCGGCCGCGGTAACCGCTCCCACTTGGCCTCCCAACCGGCAGCGATCTCCCCGCTCTTGACCATGCTTCGGAGCTTCTTGCGCTTCACGTCGGCGTGCTTGAGGATAGCCTCGGCCCACAGCGGCGAGGGCAGCACCATGGTCGCCGTGTACGATGATGTCCCTGCTTCCCGTGCCTGCGTTGTTTCGTGCAAAAGAGGAACTGAGTCATGGGGCCGCTGCTGCGCACAGCGTTCAAGGCGCAGCAGTAGCATACATAGAACTTCGCTATGAATCCATTGCTAATCTGTCTCAGACTCTATGATAGAGATGGTTTCGTTGTGTCATATTAAGAAAAAAAAAAAAAATGCATCAAACGCTATTTGAGAGGCGCCTTTCTAAAAAAACATTATCACCTACAACACGATTCTGCTGGATGCCGGGGGCATCCTCAAGATGGCGGACCATCGCCCCTCGTGTCACGCACAGAAAATACATCACGCAAACTGCTGTCGACGTGGGCATTGCTGCCTTGTCAGCTCCTGCTGCAACGCATAACTCCCTAATCCCAACCGCGCGGCGTATCGGCGCCAGTGGTAACAGCAGTAGTAGTGGCAAGACTGCTGTCTACAATAGTCCGCCTCGATACCCCTGCGACGGCTTGCCCTCGTACATAATGTTAGCAGCGAGAATGTTCGCGTTGCAGTCTTTGCCCTGTCGCTGGTTAGTCGGACTACGCAGTCACGGCAACGCACACAGCAGCAGCACTGCCAGAACCCCCCACGTAAACCCCAACGCCTTAACACATGAATCCACCCACGTCCACACCTGCTGGGTGTCCGCTGGTTGTTGGGTGCCCACAGCAGCAGCAGTCTCCTGCTGGCTACCTTCAGCACACCGGTTCGCTGTCTCTACCGACGGTCGTTTCCGGCGGCGAGCCGCTCCATTCGGCTGCAACGCGAACGCATCTCTCGAGCACCCGGCACTGTTGTCCTCGCTGGTGCTTCGTCTCCCGCCGTTGTTGCGTCCGGCAGCCTCGCGGGCGGCCGCGGCGGCCTCGTCCTTCGCAAGCGCGGCGCCTAGGTCGACATGCACGAGGGTGCCGGCGGGATCGGCCCGGTTTGGGGCGTTGATGCGCTTGACGTGCGCGACGAATAAGGCCACTGATGCGACGGCGAGGGCGACGCCGAAGCCGATGACGATCAGCGCCTCGTAGGTCATGCCGAACGAAGTGCTTGTGTTGTGCAGGTTGCTCTTTGGGAACAGAAGCAGCGGCCCCGCAAACTCTCCGACGCTAAATCGAAGCGCACGTACCATGGAAGGCCTTGTTTTAATGGGAGGGGTTTAGGGGTGAAGCATCCCCGAAGATAACGCCTCGAATACCGTCTGGAGCTAAGCCGAAGCATGCGAGGAGCGGCTGCCTTCGCTTCGATACTCATAAGTTGTGACTGTACGCGTCAAAAGCAATCATGGCACCCAAGTATGTTGCATGCACGTCGGCGCTCCTCATGATGGGAGCGTCAGCCTTCGTGGCGCCCGCGCCGGTGCTGAGGAGCTCGGTCGCATCCGCCCGGTCGGCGTCGACTCCCATGCGCATGAGTGCTGGAGACGAGGAGCCATGGTTCGCCGAGGCTGTGGCGGACAACTTGGCAGATGTGGCAGAGCTCACGTGAGTGTTGTTCGTTCCATGATGCCTGTGCTCTGCTGTGCTTCCGCCGAGGTGGCTGGTTGGGATGTTTGGATGCGGTCGGTTCGCCATCGTGCTCATTTGCATGTTTTGCACTCTCGGTGTCGTACGTGGCTCCTCCACCAAAACGAGTCGAGAAGGAGAGGTGCTTCCATGAGTGCGATCGTCACTCAAAACATGCGCTCGACGGTGGATCACGAGAGTGATTGGTGGTGCCAGCTTCGTTCTCCATGCCATCGCTAGCCGGAGAGAGGCGCAAAGTCGATCCTCTCGCCGAAATCATGTGGCGCGGTGTTTGTATGTTTTTCTATTGAACTTGGAACTGAAATCTTCCTTTCGGACAGCACGCACACGGTTGCTTTTTCTCCCTCTCTCTCGGAATCTCGCCTTTTTCCCCAGCTCTCCAAAAATCTCAACAACACATGTATGCTTGTTTGCCCCCGCTCGCTGCTGCTGCTCCGCCGCCGCCGCCGCCGCCGCAGCTCCGTATCCGACCGCGGTCTCAGCGGCAAGCTGGACTTCCTCGAGGCGGACCCCTACTTTGACCAGTCCAACGTCCCCGTCAACACCTACAAGGCCAAGGACCCGATGATCGGCAAGGTCGTGTCCGTGAAGCGCATCGTGGGACCGGAGGCCACCGGCGAGACGTGCGACGTGGTGATCAGCCACGGCGGGAAGATGCCCTACTGGGAGGGACAGTCGTACGGCGTCATCCCCCCGGGCAACAACTGGAAGACGGGCAAGCCCAACGGCGTCCGGCTGTATTCGATCGCCTCCTCCCGGTGAGGAGTAGCAGCCACACGGCGGAATTTAGCCTTTCTGCTTGCCCCGAAAAAGCATGCATTTGTATCGTTTTTCATGTTGCGGGGGGGGGGGGGGGTACGTGGTCGTTTTCGGGCGTGTACGTGTAGCACAGCACAGCGGCAGCAGACCGTCGAGCTGTGTATGTGCTCGTTTGGCGCGCTATCCGCCTCTGTGCAGTGGAGAGTGACGTTGCTCCTGACGGGCTGCTGTGGTGGCGTCTCCTTTGCCAAACCATATGTAGTGAGTCAGCAGGCGACAGACAGGCGCTTGCTTTCTCGAATACGTTCGAGTTTGTTCCCTCCGGACTAATCAGGAGGGTTTCGCCCCTCTCTCGCTATTCAGCTCTGTGACAGCATCGCAGCAGTATTACACTGGTGCTCACCACTTGTTAGCCGTCTTTCACTCTGAAGCCTTGGAACAACACAACACCGCTACGACTTGTACCAGTAAAAATCGTATACAAAGCGCGAAGTAGCGTGGACCGTATGGTATTCTACAGCCTTTTTTTTTTAACAGGAACGACATGCAGCCTTCGTACATACGCATTCAAACAGGCACGCGCCAGCATGCCGTCATATGCATACAACCGTTGTCACAAGATTTGACATTGCAGAGCGGTACATACCATGACATGTGTGCTAGAGCATATGTCGCGCACGCTTCATTGCGTTCATGCTAAATACTTCCGAAGCAGTACTACTGGTGCGGGTATCTTCCGCCGCGATCTGCTCTGCAGACAGTAAGTACCCCATCGACATCTGTTCGCTGCTTGTTCGTATGTATGCATGGAGCACATACGTCTATTTAGCACTTGTACGTGTGTGCTTGCAGAAAGAAAATAGCGAAAATCGACGAAATCGTGGCTGTGTAACCGGTGATGAAGTACGCACGCACACTCGAGCGACGGGTATATCCAAAATCCGCCTATGCGGATGCATAGTATGGTATGTAACGCTGTCAAGTTTTTTCATTTTTGCATCGTTTGTGGGATCAGTCTACGCGTGTGACCCGGGTGATGAGGTTGGTACAGCAGTGTTGGTGTGGCAACCAACCAGGGTTTGCTGGTACCAAACAGGTTGCTCACGATGTAGCGGTAGCTTGAGAAGCAGCAGTGGGACTGTTGCTTTGGGGCACTTTAATTTTTGTCCTCTCCACGATTTTTATGATGGGACACCCCACCTCACCCCCACACACCCCGAGACCAAGGGCAAGGGCAGCAACGACATCCGTCAACACTGAACACAGCAGTTGGACTATTTACATGAGACGGGGCGGAATGGAGTTTCAACATGAGACGGAAAAATAGTCGGAAAATGTCTTCTCTTCCTTGTTGCTTTTGGTGCCACCACGCCACTGCTCTGCTTTCCATCGAACGGAGTGACGCTTGCTCCAGTTTGCAAGAATCGCTGTCCCTGCGCCGCCGTGGTTCATGCGCCCTGCCCAACCCACTCGCTACTCCTTTGTTTTTCCCCACGCCCACCCTCCATAGCTCTTGGTTGCATGTACGCGCTTCCTGCACAACTTCATTTGTACATGACTGCCACAAAACTTGGTATACCTCTTTTTGTCCTTTCAAATGACTCAACAATGTGTATCATACCTTTTTTTGTCCCCTGCAGGTACGGTGACGACATGACCGGTACCACCACCACCCTCTGCGTGCGCCGCGCGACCTACTGGGACGAGGAGATGGGCAAGGAGGACCCCGCTAAGAAGGGTGTCTGCTCCAACTACCTCTGCGACGCCGAACCGGGCGCCAAGCTGAAGCTCACCGGCCCTTCCGGAAAGGTATGTAGACATGCATGTTTGCTTCACCTTGGTTGGCGTTTGTTGTGTGTTGTCATGGAGCACGTTGCTGCCGATGATGACCGTGGTGGTTTGTTGTGGTCATGTATAGGTCGTTGCTGCTGATGGCGGCCGTTGGTGGTTGGTTGCTGTTGTCGCTGCGTGGGTCTGTCATCGCTGTTGGTGTATCTCGACTGGAAAGCCGCCCGTTCCCTAGGCTTGATTTGACCCCTCGGGGAGACTTTATTCTCAACACGGAGACAAACGTCATTCGCCGCAGTGTTTCTTCGGTAGAGGCCGACACAGATGCGGTGCAACCGCCGTACAGATGACCCGCAACATTTTGAGTCAACTTTCATGCATGGATAGTCACAACTTGATTCGTTCTTAATGAGGCCGCTAGTGGACCGTATGGCCGCACGATGCTTCGCTCATGAGAGCGAAAGTAAATACTGGGGGTCACGCCAGATGGGAAAGGCGGGAGGGAGTGGACAGAGAAGGCGCGGGGAGAGCACCAGCTGTGATGTTTTCTTTGGTGTTGTCTACGATGCACTAACGAGCCTTTCCTTTTTAAGCATTGCACTCCGTTGTTTTTGTCCCAAGAACCAGACGAGTGCATTGATGTCGCTTCCACGGTGCAGAGCAAGTGGTGCATTTTTTTTGTCAAGGGATGCCGTTTGCCATTTACTTTTTCGAAGCCGTCACGCTCGACAACCGAACGAGAAGAGGCTCGATGATCTTTCGTTGCCCACAGGAAGCGAGAGAAAGGAGGATTGTTGACGCGTGCATGGAACGTGGCGGAAGGGATTTACTGTTATCAACTTCATCGGTGTGAATAAACGGGTCGCTTTTCTTTAATTTGGTTTCGTGGGGAAGAGGCATCAACTATCAACCACAGTCCCAGCGACGCCCCACACACAAGCTTGGGCGTCCCGAAACTCACACACGCCTTTCACCCCCCCTCCCGCCCCCCGCTTCAGGTGATGCTCATGCCCGAGGACAAGCCCGAGACCGACCTTATCATGATCGCCACCGGTACCGGTATCGCTCCGTACCGGTCGTTCGTCCGCCGTCTGTTCGCCGAGGCCACCCCCGCGAAGGAGGCCTACAAGGGCCAGGCGTGGCTTTTCCTGGGCGTTGCCAACTCGGACGCTCTCCTTTACGATGCGGAGTGGCAGCAGGTGCTCAAGGAGTTCCCCGACAACTTCCGCCTCGACTACGCTCTGTCCCGCGAGCAGGAGAACAAGTCCGGCGGAAAGATGTACATCCAGGACAAGGTTTGTGTGTGTGGCATGTCCTTGTTGCTATTAATAGCTTCGACCGCGCTATGCTGCCCGGCTGACCAATGTAAATTTTTTCGTGTGTGTGTCTGTTTTTTTTTTTTTTTGTTCCCTGGTCGACCGCACCAATCGGATGTGTATGGTAGTCGTCAACTAATAGCGTTGTGTGTTTTGTTATTTGTTACCATGTCGACCGCACCAATCGGATGTGTATGGTAGTCAACTAATAGCGTTTGTGTGTTTTGTTATTTGTTACCATGTCGACCGCACCAATCGGATGTGTATGGTAGTCGTCAACTAATAGCGTGCTACATAGGTCAAGCGGTGTTTGTGATGGTTCAATTCTTGCCATAGTCGTGTCTCATGCGTCTCTCCCATTCCCGTGCCAAGCGCGGGCGTCACGTTCAACAATGCGTCTGGTCGCTTACTGTAACCTGTTTCCCACTTTGGGCTTGCCGTTGGAAAACTGAAGGTGGAGGAATACGGCGACGAAGTGTTCCAGAAGTTGAGCAAGGGCGCACACATCTACTTCTGCGGGCTCAAGGGCATGATGCCCGGCATCCTTAACATGCTTGAGAAGGTCGCGACCAAGAAGAAGATGAACTGGGAAACGACCCTCAAGGACCTCAAGAAGAAGGGTGAGTTTATTTCCTTTCCTTGTAGTGCACATTAGAGGAGAGAGCGGCCAGGGCGTTCGTATGATCAACAGGAGGTGACGTTGGTTGGCAGGTAATTGAGGAGCTGACGCGGGGGTAGGGGTTCCTCCCTGCTACCCCCGCGGGCGTGTTGCGCTCTCTCAACGATCTGAGTGAAACCCATTTTTCAAACTTCGTGAGCACACCGCGCACGTGCGTGGGGTCCACGCGCTGGGTATCGGACCTAGATTCGTGTCCATGGTGCCAAGCTCTCTTGTTGCGAGTGCCGGTGCAGCCGTCCTGTTTTTCTTTTTTTCTTTTTTGTGCACACGTACGAAAGGCGTTCTCTCGAACAATAATCAATCAACGTAGATCCTGTTTTCCCTCTTGTTGGTTTGTTTCCGTTTGTTCCTTGCTCGTTTCTTGCAGTCTCGCTTGACCGAACTTTTTGCCCCCCCCCCCCCCCCCCCCC